TTTTTTTTTTTTTTTTTTTTTTTTTTGAGAGGGAGTCTTACTCTGTCGCCCAGGCTAGAGTACAGTGACTGATCTTGGCTCACTGCAGCTTCTGCCTTCTGGGTTCAAGCGATTCTCCTGCCTCAGCCTCCCCAGTAGCTGGGATTCCAGGCGCCTACTACCACGCCCAGCTAATTTTTGTATTTTTAGTAGAGATGGGGTTTCACCATGTTGGCCAGGCTGGTTTCGAACTCCTGACCTTGTGATCTGCCCACCTCGGCCTCCCGAAGTGCTGGGATTACAGGTGTGAGCCACTGCGCCCAGTCCAAGTTTACTACTCTTGTATCTCTGCATTAAGTTCCCACATGTCTTAACTAATAATGCAACAGACAGGTTTCAGTTGTCCATAACCCCAGCCAGCTGGGAGGTGTGGAGGCCTGGGTTTGAAGAGTGGTTGGGCTTCCAGCCTGTCTGGGCGCTAAGATATCCCGCACCCTCAGGTGACACCCCTGCGCTTTGGAAAGGACGTTGATGGGAAATGCCACAGCCTCACAGCCTCCTATGTGCGGACACAGTACCAGCATGACACCAGCCTGCCCCACTGCCGCTTCTATGAGGTGCCTAGAGGGCAGGGCTGAGGGAGGGAGGCAGGACGGGGACGCCTGGGGCAGCCTCTCTGACCCCTGGCACTTGTCCCAGGAATTTGACACCCATGGGCGTGAGGTGCCCCTCCCTCCCGGCATCTACAACCTGGATGACCTGAAAGCGCTGGGGCGACACCACGGCTGGTGCCCGTACTTCCTTGCCCGATACTCAGTGAGGAGAACTGTGGGGCAGGCAGAGGGGCGAACGTGAGGGCTTGGGCTGCCTGCCCGTCTCCTGTCTGCCCATGTCTGTCTGTCGCTTGCTGTGAGTCAGCCTGCCCGTGTCTCCCTGTTGGTGGGTGGCTGTGTCTTGGTCTGTCTCTGTCCATCTGCTCGTATTTGTGCCTGGCCTGTGTCTGCTTCTGCCAGCTTGTGCGGGAGTGATGGGGCAGTGTGGCCAGGGGAAGGGGTAGGGGTCGCGGTGACAGGGCCCTGGTAATCCTGCTTCCTGCCCCTCCAGATCCTGCATGCTAACGTGGTGGTTTATAGCTACCACTACCTCCTGGACCCCAAGATTGCAGACCTGGTGTCCAAGGAACTGGCCCGGAAGGCCGTCGTAGTCTTCGATGAGGCCCACAACATTGGTGAGGGGGGCGCCAGGGGCCAAAGGGACGCCAGCCCCTCTGACTGAGGCCCCTGTGGGCCTGCTCGAGCCGGCTGTCTCTCCCTTCTCCAGACAATGTCTGCATCGACTCCATGAGCGTCAACCTCACCCGCCGGACTCTTGACCGCTGCCAGGGCAACCTGGAGACTCTGCAGAAGACGGTGCTCAGGTGGGGCCAGGGATGGCTGGTGGACCCTGGTGCCCACCCTGCTCCTGGGACCCTGTCCTCTGTCTTACTTGTCCCCAGGGTTGCCAGCCAAGTCCCAGCCCCAGCTCATCTTCCCGCAGGATCAAAGAGACAGATGAGCAGCGCCTGCGGGAGGAGTACCGGCGCCTGGTGGAGGGGCTGCGGGAGGCCAGCGCCGCCCGGGAGACAGACGCCCACCTGGCCAACCCCGTGCTGCCCGATGAGGTGCTGCAGGGTGAGCCCCCACTTCCCGCTGCCCTCCAGTCCCTTTCCCGCCTCCCCCGTGGCGGCTGACTGCGTCTCCTCGCAGAGGCGGTGCCGGGCTCCATCCGCACAGCTGAGCACTTCCTGGGCTTCCTGCGGCGGCTGCTGGAGTACGTGAAGTGGCGGCTGCGCGTGCAGCACGTGGTGCAGGAGAGCCCGCCCGCCTTCCTGAGTGGCCTGGCGCAGCGCGTGTGCATCCAGCGCAAGCCCCTCAGGTGCGGCCGCAGACAGCGGAGGTGTGGGCGTTCGGGCAGGTCCCAGTTATGCAGAGCCATGTCCTCCATGCCTGTAGCTCCGGGTCACTATTACCAGCCTCAGAAGTGAGTGGGCTGGGCCAAGCACGTGGGGCCCTGGCCCGTCTAACCAGGCAGGCCAAGGAGCAAGGTTGGAGCTGGTCCTGCATCCCTGCGTTGGGCAGGGGCCTGGCAGGCAACACCTGGCTGGAGTGGAGAATCTACCCCACCCAAGAGAGAGTAATGGGGGCACCATTTCCAGAGGGGCAGGCTGGGGGAGGAACCAAGGAAGGTGGGAGGTGGGAGCTCTGAGCTAGGCCCGGCCACAGCGGCAGGGAGGGAGTGTGTCGGGAACGTTGAGAACCAGCTGATGAGGGCCTGGGCAGAAGCTCCTGCTGGGAGCTGAAACCAGAACCTGGGCCTCACGGAATGGGAGCTGGGGGAGGAGCTGTCTGGGCCCATTTTGGGGAGTCAGTCTCTAGAGGCACAGAGCAGACAGAGAATGACCAAGGGATAGGACGGGGCTTCTTTTCCTTTGCTGCTTTGGGTAAGTCATGGGTCTTCTCTGAGCTGCAGTTTCCTCCTCTGTAAAATGGTCAAGGAGTCGGATCTTTACCTCACAGGTGTCTGGTAGTGAATATGAGAGCAGCAAAGCCAACCACCTGCCCCGCCCTGAGCACTAAGGAGGAGCTAAGCTCCTCATGTTCCTTTTCCTTACCTCAATTGCATCCCCAGTACGGCATCCCCCCCCACCACCCCGGCTGCAAATGAGGACACCCAGAGGGGAAGCTTTTGCCTAGAGCCACACAGCACTGTGCCTGGTAGTTGTGGCTTGAGGCCAGGCCTGTGGGCTCCAAAGGCCCTGGCTGCCCTGCCTTGGCGGGGGAGGCCGTCTTCCGAGGGGCTTTGCCCATCTCCCCCAGGATTGGAGACTTGTGAGGGCAAAGAGGGGATCTCAGTCACTCAACAGACATTCCCAAGTGCCTGCTCTATGCTGGCAACACAGCCGTAGAGCAGGCACTTGGGAATGTCTGTTGAGTGACTGAGATCCCTGTGGCCCAGTGGAGGGGACAGACTGACTCATCCCCAGCTAGTGACCAGCCAGGGTCAACCCCTAGGGTTGGAGGAGCCAGGCTGGAAGGGCTGAAGTGCGGGAGGCTGGTTTACAGGTGTGACTGCCTGCCTGGCTTCAAAGCCAGCTGCTCCATGACCCGTCCCTGAGGCCGAGAGCCTCAGCCTGTGTGCGGTTGTGGCCGAGTGGCCCTGCATGTGCGTGAGTGTGTGGGTGCAGTATCCATGGGACTCTGCAGGATGTGGGTGATGACTGCTTTCCTCTGTAAGCCCATGGGATCCCCACATTGTGTGTCACCACAGGTGCATGAGAGGCGGTGGGAGAAGTTCCGGGTGTGAGAGTGTGGCCGTGTGGCCATGCAGGATTAATGCCATGACCTTGGGTTCTGGGTGTGATTGTGGGTCTCTTGATAAGAACCCACTTAGGCAGTTGTGCTAGTGTGTTTGACAAGTGACCAAATGACTCTGGGGTGTCTGATTATTGCTGTCTGTGCCATCGTGCGGCAGTGGCTGTGTGTGACATGCAGGTGTACAGCGTGGGGATGCCAGTTTCCAAAACAGGCCTAGTGTCCGGCCTCACCAAGGGCCCATTGCCTGGGGAGACAGGCATGTGACCGCGTGCTGTGATGGCGGAGGCAGGGTTGCCGGGCCTGTTCGTGGTTTCCATCTGCCCCCTGACCCTGTCTCTCCTCCCCACCAGATTCTGTGCTGAACGCCTCCGCTCCCTGCTGCACACGCTGGAGATCACCGACCTGGCCGACTTCTCCCCGCTTACCCTCCTTGCTAACTTTGCCACCCTCGTCAGCACCTACGCCAAGGGTAAGCTCACCTCTTTCTGTCCCTGTTGGGCCTCCTAGCAGCTGGAACCGGGGTCCCAGCAGAGTCTAGAGGGTTGCTGGCAGGAACTTGGACATGCAGGGCTTTGTGGGGCTTGGCTGGGGAATGTGAACTCTATTTTGAAGGCAGTGGGAGCCATAGATAGTTCTTGAGTAAGCCTTGTGCTCAGATTTATATTTTCACAGACTTCCTTGGGCTGCAGAGTGAGGATGAGGCCAGAGAAGTTCTCTGGGGTCAGCTCACGCTAGAGGGCACGGTAATGAATTGGTCATTGTGTTCCTGAGGGCACTGGGGAGCCATAGCAAGTTCTAGCAAGCAAGGCGTCAGGTCAGATCTGTGATTTTTTTTTTTTTTTTTTTTTTGAGACAGAGTCTCACTCTGTAGTCCAAGTTGGATGCAGTGGTGCGATCTCAGCTCACTGCAGCCTTCGCCTCTGGGGCTCAAGCAATTCTGCTGCCTCAGTTTCCCATGTAGCTGGGACTACAGGTTCGCACCACCACACCCAATTAATTTTTTTTGTATTTTTAGTAGAGACAGGGTTTCACCTGAGCTCCTGAGCTCAGGCGATCCACCCACTTTGGCCTCCCAAAGTGTGGGGATTAGAGGTATGAGCCACGGCACCCAGCCCAGATCTGTGCTTTAGAAAGATTTCTTCTGGGAGCCAGGTTCGTGGTCCATGCCGCTAATCCCAGCACTTTGGGAGGCTGAGGCTGGTGGATCACCTGAGTATAGGAGTTTGAGACCAGCCTGACCAATATGGTGAAACCCTGTCTTCACTAAAAATACAAAAATTAGCTGGGCATGGTGGCATGCACCTGTAGTCCCAACTCCTTGGGAGGCTGAGACAGGAGAATTACTTGAACCTGGGAGGTGGAGGTTGCAGTGACCAAGATCACACCACTGCACTCTGGCCTGGGTGACAGAACAAGACCCCGTCTAAAAAAAAAAAAAAAAAAGATTTCTTCCAGGGACTAGAGGCAGGAGACTGGGTGGTGGGCGGGGGCCTGAGCAGGGGAGGAGGGGCCGTGGCCAGGGTGTGGCCTTGGGGAGAGAGACGGGTGTGGTTTGGAGAGAGAGGTGGGAGGTAGAAGCCGGGATGTGGGGAGCATGGTTCTAGGACAAGGAGTTGAGGCTGATTTTCAGATTTCCAGGTTGCAGGAGAGGGGTGTGGTTCCGATGGCTTTATGGGCAGTGTTCCCTCCCCGTCCTCAGCGTGAAGCTGACCAGGGGCTCAGTCTTCCTCCTAGGGGTTTCTCCTTTCCCTGGGACACTGGGTTGGGGCTAATGTCCTTCGGCGGGGTCTGGCAGGAGGATGGACACCTGGGCCCCCGCCCTGGGGCTAGTTAGTAGCAAAGCCTGCTGGCTGCTGCCTCTGCCTCTGTCCTGCCCCATCTTTCATCCCTGCCTTTGTCGTTCTCTACCTGCTATTTCCCATCTGCCAACACCTCACGTTCTTCCACCTGGAGCATCCTTCCTCATCTTCCTCATCCCCCAACCACATCCCCCTCATCCTTAGGTTCTCAGCTCTGTAGAGATGTCTCCTCCACCAGGAAGCCTTCCCTGACCCTCAGGCTGAGTCAGGCCCCTCCTCTGGGCACCTCTATCCCAGCATTGCCCACTCAGTCATCACCATCTGGGGACAAGTCGGTCTCCTACTGGATTTTGAGCCATGGGAGCAGGGGCAAGGTTGGCTTGGTCACCCCTGTGTCCCCAGCACAGAGGACTTGATTTTTTTTCACTGTGTGAAACTAAATATATAAGTTAATTAATTCATTTATTTCTTCAACAAATGGGCCAGGCTCAGCACTGTGGAAGCAGCAGGAACCAAAAAAAATCTCATTCCTACCCTTCTGGAACTTATATTTCAGAGAGGAAAGTCAATAGCAAACATGCAGTAAAGTTAAAAACGAGGAAATAATTCCAGAAAGTGACAGTTATCTTGAGAAGAAAAAAAGTTGTGTTGGAACATGTCTTCGTAGAAAAGGTGGCTGGGGAGGGCCTCTCTGACGGGCTGACATTTGAGCAGTCTCAGATGACCCAGTGGGGCCACTTGGGAGTTTTCCAGGCCACACGGGACCAGCAAGCGTAAAGGCCCTGGGGGCACTGAGCCTGTGTGTGTGTTGGGGGGGGGGGGATGGGGGGGTTTTTTTTTTTTTTTTTTTTTTTTGAGACGGAGTTTCACTCTTGTTACCCAGGCTGGAGTGCAATGGCGCGATCTCGGCTCACCGCAACCTCCGCCTCCTGGGTTCAGGCAATTCTCCTGCCTCAACCTCCTCAGTAGCTGGGATTACAGGCACGCACCACCATGCCCAGCTAATGTTTTTTTTTTTGTATTTTTAGTAGAGACGGTGTTTCACCATGTTGACCAGGATGGTCTTGATCTCCTGACCTCGTGATCCACCCGCCTCGGCCTCCTAAAGTGCTGGGATTACAGGCTTGAGCCACCGTGCCCGGCTTTTCTTTTTTTTTTAAAGATGGGGTTTCACCATCATGGCCAGGCTGGTCTTGAACTCCTTTTTTAAAATTTTTTCTTTATTTTTATTTTTTTAAAGACAGGGTTGCACCTTGTTGGTCAGGCTGGTCGAACTCCCGACCTCAGGTGATCGCCTGTCTTGGACTCCAAAGTGCTTGGATTACAGGCATGAGCCACCATGCCTGGCTTTTTTTTTTTTTTTTTTTTTTTTTAAAGATGGGGGAGCCTGCGGTTTTTTGAAGGTCAAACATGAGGCCACTGAAGGCATGCGGGGGCCATGGGAGGCTTCTCGGGGTGGGGAGGTGACATGGCCAGACTCAGGATTCTATAGGGTCCCTTCTGGCTACCATGAAGTGAGCAGGGCATGATGGTTCAGGCAGGAGGTGATGGTGGCTGGCCCTGGGTAGGGTTGGGAGCAGTGGTCGGATTGCAGGTGGGTTTTGGAGGCAGAGCTGATGGCTTAGGTAGAAAGGTCACAGGAGGCCAGTCACAGTGGCCCATGCCTGTAATCCCAGCACTTTGGGAGCCTGAGGCAGGCGGATAACTGAAGGTCAGGAGTTTGAGACCAGCCTGGCCAACATGGTGGAACCCCATTTCTACTAAAAATACAAAAATTAGCTGGGTGTGGTGATGCATACCTGTAATCCGTTACTTGAGAGGTTGAAGTAGGAGAATCACTTGAACCCTGGAAGGCAGAGGTTGCAGTGAGCTCAGCTCAGCCCACTGCACTCCAGCCTGGATGATAAAGTGATCTCAAAAATAAATAAATAATCAAGAACTGGTCTCGGGAGAAGGCATGAGGCTCTGGCTCCTGGCTTTGGTGTGGGTACTGGGTGGCCCCTTCGGTGCTGGGAGAGTGAGCCGTGGGCAGGGCTGTGGCACTGTCTACTTGGGATCCTTTGTGAAAGTCTGCACAGATGTGGGCCCTGTGGAGAGGCTGACAGGTTGGGGTGTATTTTGGATTCTGATGCCTGGGTTTGGGGCTTAAGAGCTGACGTTTGGTCCCATTCACTCCTGGGCGGTGCGGGGTGGGGATTAGGGTAAAGCAGGGGAGCAGGAGAGGGAACGACTGAGTCGGCACAGCTGTGGCTGCAGTGGGGGAGTCACCCGCCCTTGCCCGCCCTTGCCCGCCCTCTGCAGGCTTCACCATCATCATCGAGCCCTTTGACGACAGAACCCCGACCATTGCCAACCCCATCCTGCACTTCAGGTGGGACCCTGCCTGGTGGGGGTGTGAAGGTCCTGTGGGTGGGGGGCCCAGCCCACCAGGCCTTCACCGCCCTCATCTCTCTCCAGCTGCATGGATGCTTCGCTGGCCATCAAACCCGTGTTTGAGCGCTTCCAGTCTGTCATCATCACATCTGGGGTGAGGACCCTTCCCCTGTCCCCTCCCAGTCCCTGGCCTTCCTCCATGGGTCTCCTGGTCCCTGCCCAGTCCTGCTGAGATTCCTCCCACTGTCCCCACTACAGACGCTGTCCCCGTTGGACATCTACCCCAAGATCCTGGATTTCCACCCTGTTACCATGGCAACTTTCACCATGACGCTGGCCCGGGTCTGCCTCTGCCCTATGGTGAGTGGGAGAGGCTGAGGCTGGGGCCAGGAGGGGAGATGAGAGCCGGAGGGGGGGGCACCTTCCTTCCTTTCTTCCTTGGCTTCCCCCACTGCTCAGGCAGAAGAACCTGAGTTCAGGATTCAGACAGACCTAGGCTTGATTCTGCTTCTCTCTGGGTACATCTCTCAAGCCTCAGTTTTCTCATCTGTGAAATGGGGATGCATCCTCCCTGATCGCACAGGGCTGTTGAGAGACTTGAGAGAGAGAACTGGGGTAAACACTTAGGTAGCCCAGGGCCTGGCACAGGTAGGCGCTTGGTCAGCATTTTGGTTAACGTGGTTTTGCCAGGTACATGGTCTGGCAAAGGTAAGTGGGCCTTCCTCCCCATCTCCTCTGTAACAGTGCATGTCGGCGTGGGCGCTTAGTTCCTTATCTGAAGCCCTGAGGCTGTTTTTGTTTCTGTTTTGAGACAGTCTTGCTCTGTTGCCCAGGCTGGAGTACAGTGGCACAGATCTCTGTTCACTGCAACCTCCGCCTCCCAGATTCAAGCGATTTTCTTCTGCTTCACCCTCCCAAGTAGCTGGGATTATAGGTGTGCCTCACCACACCTGGCTAATTTTTGTATTTTTAGTAGAGACAGTGTTTCACCATGTTGGCCAGGCTGGTCTGAAACTCCTGAGCTCAAGTGATCCGCTCGCCTTTTCCTCCCAAAGTGCTGGGATTCTGGGCATGACCCACCGCGCCCGGCCATGTGTTTTGGAATTCAGAATGTTCCAGCCTTTAGAGACAAGGCATATGCTGTGTGGTGGTATAATGTCCCCAGTGGGGTCTGGGCGGCGCCCCCCAGTCAAACTCCTGTTTCAGCAGCAAAGGATTTGGATGCATCACACTGTGGAGTAAGTCAGGCCTCTGGAGAGACTTGGAGCAGGTTTCGCTACTTAGTGAGTTTGTGCCAAACTTGAAAAAGACAGGTGTTCAGAGCTTGTGTCTTTTGGAATTGCCTGGCAGAGGTTGTGGACCGGTAATGACCACCCACTGCGTGGTGGTTGTATGAAGGTTGCCGGCTGGCAGGGATGCCCACCAGCATATGAGAGTGTTTTTTGGGATCCAGCTGGCCTGGGGCTGGCTAGGGTGTAGCTGCTGGTCGAGAGAGTGGACAGGCTCAGGTCCAGTTCCATCTCTGCCACTTGTTTATTTATTTTTTGAGATGGAGTCTTGCTCTGTCACCCAAGATGACAGGGGCGCCATCTCGGCTCATTGTAACCTCTGCCTCCCGAGTTCAAGTGATTCTCCTGCCTCAGCGTCCTGAGTAGCTGGAATTACAGGCAAGCGCCACCACGCCGGCTAATTTTTGTATTTTTAGTAGAGACAGTGTTTCACCATGTTGCTTAGGCTGGTCTTGAACTCTGACCTCGTGATCCACCTGCCTCAGCCTCTCAAAGTGCTGGGATTACAGGCATAACCACTGCGCCCAGCTCTGCCACTTACTTGCTGTGTGACCTGGGGCAGGCAACTCACCACCTCTGAGCCCAGATCATCTCTGCTATGCAGATAACAGGGTAGCTGAGGGTTCATTCAATGACATTGTGTTTATAAAGTTTAGAGCAGGCCGGGCGCGGTGGCTCACGCCTGTAATCCCAGCACTTTGGGAGGCCAAGGCAGGTGAACCATGAAGTCAAGAGATAGAGACCATCCTGGCCAACATGGTGAAACCCTGTCTCTACTAAAAATACAAAAATTAACTGGGTGTGGTGGCACGTGCCTGTAGTCTCAGCTACCCCGGAGGCTGAGGCAGGAGAATGGTTTGAACCCAGGAGGCGGAGGTTGCAGTGAGCCGAGATCGAGCCATTGCACTCCAGCCTGGTGACAGAGCGAGACTCTCTCCAAAAAAAAGAAAGAAAAGCTTAGAACAGTACCTGCAGGTGGTCCGCACTCACACACTGGAGCAGTTGCTGCTGCTTCACTTATCGTGACCTCTTGCTCTCTTCAGATCATCGGCCGAGGCAATGACCAGGTGGCCATCAGCTCCAAGTTTGAGACCCGGGAGGATATTGGTAGGCTACCAGTGGGGCTGCTTTCTGTGGGTTCCAAGAGGGGAGGTGTATCAGTCAGATGGGTTGAATCATGCTGCTGTAACAAATATCCCCCGTCTCTGCTACTTAGCCCAGAGCTTGCTTCTTGCCCATGGTACACATCCACTGTGAGCTGGTAGGGGGCCTGCCCTGTGTCTGCTTACCTGGAAACCTCCACTGCTGGGTGCGTCAGAGGCAGAGGGATGTGACAGACTGGATGACGGTGATCACAGTGAATTGTGCACTGGTGCTCCCCTGGAAGCAGTACATGGCCTCTTTTTTTTTTTTTTTTTAAGACGGAGTCTGTCTATTGCCCAGGCTTTTCGGCTCACTGCAACCTACGTCTCCTGGGTTCAAGCGATTCTCCTGCCTCAGCCTGCTGAGTAGCTGGGATTACAAGCAGGCACCACCACGCTTGGCTTTTTTTTTTTTTTTTTCCTTTTCCTTTTTTTGAGACAGAGTCTCTCTGTCTCCCAGGCTGGGTGCTATATCTCGACTTCAGCTCACTGCAACCTCTGCCTCCCAGGTTCAAGCAATCCTCTTGCCTCAGTCCCCCCAGTAGCTGGGATTACAGGCATGCACCACCATGCCCTGCTAATTTTTGTATGCATTTTTTTAGTAGAGATGGGTTTTGCTATGTTGGCCAGGCTTGTCTCAAACTCCTGACCCCAGATGATCCACCTACCTTGGCTTCCCAAAGTGCTGGGATTACTGGTGCGAGCTACCGTTTCCAGGTTTGGTTTTGTTTTGTTTTTTGAGACAGTCTCGCTGTCGCCCAGGCTGGAGTACAGTGGCGTGATCTCGGCTCACTGCAACCTCCGCCTCACAGGTTCAAGCAATTCTCATGCCTCAGCCTCCTAAGTAGCTGGGATTACAGGCATCCGCCACCACACCTGAGTGATTTTTGTATTTTTAGTAGAGATGGGGTTTCTCCATGTTGGCCAGGCTGGTCTCAAACTCCTGACCTCAAATGATCTGCCTGCGTCAGCCTCCCAAAGTGCTGGGATCACAGGCGTGAGTCACCGTGCCTGGCCCCTTCTGCACTCAAGTCACAGCCATGCGTGACTTCAGGAGGTGGCAAGGAGGGTCCTCAAACAGGCTCAGGAGGAGGAGCAGGATGTGTGTGAACAGCCTGATAGCCAAACTTGGGGGGGTTTCCAGAAACTCCCGGTTCCAAGACAGAGAAGGGAGTGGACCTGGGCCAGTAGAGGGCCCAACCTCTGACCCTTTGCAGCTGTGATCCGGAACTATGGGAACCTCCTGCTGGAGATGTCCGCTGTGGTCCCTGATGGCATCGTGGCTTTCTTCACCAGCTACCAGTACATGGAGAGCACCGTGGCCTCCTGGTATGAGCAGGTACGCCTGGCCAACCCCTCCACAGAAAGAGGAGTCATCTGTTCTCCTTAGCCCCTGGCACTGCACTGCTGTCAGCTTCATTTCTCTCATGCTCTGATGGGGACAGGAGAGTGTGTGCAGCATGTAGGAACGGGGTGTAAGCAGCATGCACCCCATGCCCTGCCCCCAGCACATTATGCTGAGAATGCAGACATGAGCCCCAACGTGGGCCTCTCCTTCAAAGCAGTACCCTATGGGGGAGTCACTCCCACCTTCTAGGTTCCTTGCTCCCCTGCTGCTCTTTGGGATCACCCCATCCCTGCTATCCTCCAGCACAGATGGCCTGGGGGGGAGGCCGAGGTAGCAGGCATGACTCTAGCTGGGTTAGAGGTAGGTTCTAGAGAATTAAGGCTGGACTGAGAATCAGAGCAGTCTCTCAAGGTCTTCAGGGAAGCAGGTGGAGGAGCTTGAGGGCATTCTGGCAATAGGGTTCACCACAGCCAGGCCCTGGGTGACCAGCAGGACACGGGTGGGAGGGGAGGCCACCTGCACTTTGTGTCTCTGAACACACCATGTCCAGGCTTTCAGGAGTAGATGAAGGCACTTTGGGGTGAAATGAGTGAACTTGGCTAACCAAGTATCAGGGAATAGCATGCATGAGAAGCAGGAACCTCATCCTTACAGCCAGGACATCGGCCTCGTCCTCCAATGGGCAGCTTCCACAAGGCAGGAAAAGTGACCCAGTCCCCACAGCCCAGGTGCCTTTTGTGTCCTAATTAAGACATCTTTGCCCACCCCAAAGTCACGAAGAGAGGCTCCTGTGTTTCCTTCTAGGAGGTTGTGGTTTTAGCTTTCACATCTAGGTCTATGAGGCACCTCAAATTCATCTTTGTGTATGGTGTGGGGTAGGGGTCAAGATTCATTTTTTGGTTTCATTTGGAAATCCACTTGCTCCGGTAAAAGCTCTCCCCGCTGGACTGCACAGGTGGCCATGTGTTTCTGGACTCTGTCTGTCCTTGCATTGGCTCCACACTGTCTGTATTATAGTGTCATATGGAGAAGCTCAGGACAGCTTCTGATTGGCTCTGCCTTTCTGACAGCCCCTCCACCAATCACTGGCAGGGGATAGGGTGCCCTGATTGGCCACCCCCTTGAGCCACATGCCTGTTCTACTTACCCAGCAGCTACTGGTTCCCCACCCAGATCACTAAGTTTCCTCAAAGAAGTGAGGCTGGATAGTTTCACCCTCCCTTCCCAGCTGAGGCCCAGAGAAAGGGTCTGTGATACAGGAGTCCCCGGGAGAGTTGGATGTGACCAGGACGGCCATGCCCTGAACCCACCCTCATTCTGACCTCCCTGGGTCCATCCCCAGGGGATTCTTGAGAACATCCAGAGGAACAAGCTGCTGTTTATCGAGACCCAGGATGGTGCCGAGACCAGCGTCGCCCTGGAGAAGTACCAGGAGGTAGGTGTGTGAGGCGAGCATGGAGGGGTGGGGGAGGCGGCTCCAAGGAGTGACTCCCACTTGCATCTTGGCCTCCCTGCTTAGGCCTGCGAGAATGGCCGCGGGGCCATCCTGCTGTCAGTGGCCCGGGGCAAAGTGTCTGAGGGAATCGACTTTGGTGAGTGGACTGGGCTCTCCTTCCCCAGAACACCGGCCCGTTCTGCTGTCCACTCCCACAGGGGACCACCCATCCACAGCCTGAGCGCACAGAGGGGCCCTCCCCTCCCCTGTGTCCCTGGGCACCCGGCAGGAGCACACCCTTTCTCTTCCCTATGCAGACACAGCATCCTGGGGGCGCATGAGGCTGTCCCAGTCCCACCAGCCGCACTTGTAACCCCCTCTCCTCTGCCCACCAGTGCACCACTATGGGCGGGCCGTCATCATGTTTGGTGTCCCCTACGTCTACACGCAGAGCCGCATTCTCAAGGTGAGCAGCACTGGCTTCTGGGGAGTACCAAAGTGTTAGGGCCAAGGGAGGGATGGTTCCCCTACCTCCCCCACTCCTCCGTATCTGCAGGCGCGGCTGGAATACCTGCGGGACCAGTTCCAGATCCGGGAGAATGACTTTCTCACCTTCGACGCCATGCGCCACGCGGCCCAGTGCGTGGGTCGAGCCATCAGGGGCAAGACGGACTACGGCCTCATGGTCTTTGCCGACAAGGTGCAGGTTCGGGGGTGCCCCTGTGCTCCCACCCCAGCCGCCTCTGAGAAGCAGGCTGTTTTCCCATTCCTTTCCCAGATGCGGTGGATTGCAGGGTGGAGGGTGGCCCAGGATCCCTCGGCCTCTGGTCATGTCGCTCTCTCCCTGGCCTGCTGCCCCCAGCGGTTTGCCCGTGCAGACAAGCGGGGGAAACTGCCCCGCTGGATCCAGGAGCACCTCACAGACGCCAACCTCAACCTGACTGTGGACGAGGGTGTCCAGGTGGCCAAGTACTTCCTAAGGCAGATGGCACAGCCCTTCCACCAGGTGAGGCTGGGCCTCTCCTCCAGAAAGGCCCCTTAGCTTTTCCCCATTCCCCAACCCACCTGTCCTCGTGCCCTCAACCAAGAGAAGTATATCTATGTGCCAGGCTCTGGGGCGTGGGGGGAGATTTGAGGGGCCACAGATGCCAGCAGGTGGCCGAGGCAAGGCAGGGTGAGAGAATTTGGGGTGAGGAGGCATCGGGCCTTTTCAGGAGAGACTGTGCTGGCCTGGGGAAGCCCATTGTTTCCCCGGCTCCCTGGCTGGCCCCTCCCTTCAGCCCCATCCTCTGTTGACAGGGATGGCCTACTCTAGATTATCTGGACATTTCCAAATTCAAATATCCTGTCCCTCATGCATCAGACCCCTAATCCCCATCAGGGGTGGGCAGGTGGGGAAGTACTGCTGCTGCCTGGGCGCCCCCCCTTCCTGACAGCCTCTGCTTCCTCTGTTCTCTGCAGGAGGATCAGCTGGGCCTGTCCCTGCTCAGCCTGGAGCAGCTGGAGTCGCAGGAGACGCTGCAGAGGATAGAGCAGATTGCTCAGCAGCTGTGAGCAGGGCAAGGCTGTCAGCTGTTCCTGGAGCCCAGGGGCGGTGCTGGAAGGTCTTAAGAACTCAGGTGACATTCCTTACTGTGACATCCACAGCCTTTAATCGAAGGAGACGGTAGCTTTCCATCAGGTACCCAGAGGCAGGGGAGTCCAGGAGCTGACAGACCCCTGCAGCCCCTCCCTCCTGAACTGTTCCCGAAGAGCCGCAGCCAGTGCTGTTGACTCGACGCTAGCGTGGGCTCAGGTCCTGCGTGCTGGCGCTGAGGTTCCGAGGGAGCTTCTCCAGGTGCCAGCTGGGGAACTGGAGGCAGGCACAGGGGATGGGAGGAGGTGAGGGGCAGGTGCTACGGCCACCATGCAGCTCCAGCCTGGCAGCCAACTTGTCTACCCTCCTCACCTGTATCTCAAGTAAAATGCATCGTTGCTCCCTTCCTGGGTCTCTTCTGACACTATCCTCCTCCTGCTGATTCCGACGCCAGCCCAACCGCCCTGCCTTTACCTTACCTCTGCCCCCGTGGCCCCACTCCATCTTTGACTCAGATGTCTCCTCACCTGAGTCCCAGGAGCCCTCAGGCCATCCACGTTCAGTGTGTTGAGTGACATGGCTCTCTTCATTCTGCAAAGCGGGCAGCAGGGAAGAAACAAGTGAATCCAGGAGGTACCTTTCTGGCACAGGGTTTGATCTGTGTGTGGCACTGGGAGCATGGAAGGTTCTTGAGCAGGACAGGGAGAGGGATGAGCTGCAGGTCCTGCCTGCTACTGTCAGGGCTCGTTGCTGACCTGAGCAACACTTACCCGGCGGCCCCCTCGCCTCGGAGACGGGACACCAGCTTCTCACTTCCGCGGCGGATAGACTCACGGATCTTGGAGAGAGAGCTGCTGCGGCGGAGGGCCTGCGGGGGGCCGGGAATGCTGCTCAGTCCCCCGAGCCCATGCAGTCCCCATGCCCACCCCAGGAGCCGCAGCACAGCCCATCCTCACCTGTTCTGCGTCACCCACTGTGCCTGTGTTGGGGGCACCTAGGGGAGAAGATGGGGGACACTGAGGTGGGGACAGGGAGAAGCCAGCAGGAGGGAAGGCAGGGGCTAGAGGCTCACCGAGCGGGGCAGGCAGGTCCTCTCGGTGGAGGATTTCTTTGTATAGCTCTTCTGCTTGTTGGTACTTGTTCTGTTTCAGGTAGGCTGAGGCCTGTGGAGAGGGAGGGTCAGGGAGATCTGAGCTCCAGTTCTCAGCACTGTATCTAGACCCACTTGGGTTTTTTGGTAGAGACAGGGTCTTGCTATGTTGCCCAGGCTGGTCTTGAACTTCCGGCCTCAAGTGATCCTTCTGCCTTAGTCTCTCAAAGTGCTGACTGTTGGGATTACAGGTGTGAACCCCCATGCCTGGCCCCAGTCCCACTTTTTTTTTTTTTTTTTTTTTTTTTTTAGAGACGGAGTTTCCCTCTTGTTACCCAGGCTGGAGTGCAATGGTGCGATCTCAGCTCACCGCAACCTCCGCCTCCTGGGTTCAGGCAATTCTCCTGCCTCAGCCTCCTGAGTAGCTGGGATTACAGGCACACGCCACCATGCCCAGCTAATTTTTTGTAGTTTTAGTAGAGACGGGGTTTCACCATGTTGACCAGGATGGTCTCGATCTCTTGACCTCGTGATCCACCCGCCTCGGCCTCCCAAAGTGCTGGGATTACAGGCATGAGCCACCGCGCCCGGCCCCCAGTCCAACTTTCTAATGTGCGGACCTGGCCGTATCCCTCCCCTGCCTAAAGCCTCACCCTGGAGCACAGTAGTTTGGAGCCCGGCCCCACTTCCTGCCTGGGAGACGGAGGGCAGGCGACCCCATTTTTGAGCCTGGCTGCTCTACTTTGGGCTGGTGGCATGGCCTCTGTGCCTCAGTCTCCTCACATGCTAAATGGGGCGACAGCTCCCAATTCATAGGGACGCTGTAAGAACTAGCGATGTGGGGACCAGGCTGAGAAGAGCCGGCCGCACTGAGCTCAATACTTGCCTAGTGCTGCCATCAGCCTGCCAGCTTCCTCCTCCACTGGCTGGCCTCTGGCCGCCATGACCTTAAGCATTTCCTGATTCTGTGTTCTCTTTGCTGAGCCAGCTTGTATCTGATGGGACACTTGCTCCAAGGGCCCGGCCTGGCCTGGTGGGACCCTCCCCCACCATGGTGCTCACTCTGTACCCAGCCAATAGGTGCCTCCCCAGGGCAGGCGCCCCCCGCACCAGGACTCACCAGGTTGTTCTTGGTCTTGGCCACATTGGGGTCGTGGGGCCCACCCAGGGCCTCGTAGATGCTCAGGGCCCGGGCGTAGTGCCGCTCCACGTCCTCAAACTTGCCCTGGTTCTGGCACAGCAGGGCCAGGTTGTTGAGCTGCTTGGCCACATCTGGGTGGTCAGCGCCTAGGACCTGGGGGCCAGGGGTCACAAGTCAGAGGGGTCATACAGGAGTGGTGGGACACGTGACGTCACTGCCGTGTGGTGGTCATGAGTTAGGGGTACCGTCAAAGCAGTGACCTGAGAGGTTGGGAACCGGGGGGCAAAAGTTATTCCATCAAATGGGATTACCAAGGGCAGAGGTCACGGTGGTCCAGAAACTCATGGGGCACAGGGTCAGATGGGTAGGTCAGGGTTGGGCTTGTGTTGGTTGTCATGAGGGGTTAGAAAGGCTGTGGAGGGACCCAGTTGGTGTTGGGGGAGTGAGAGATCAGAGTTGGGGTCAAGATAAAACTGGGATCTCAGAAGGTCAAGTGATGGGTTGGGTGACTGAGGATCCAATTGGGGTCTCCCAGTACCAAACACAAGGGGTACCCGAGGACCAAGGTCATGATGTACGTGCTCAGGGTACATGGGGAGGGCTACACAGGACACGGGGTTCCTCGGGGTTGGGCAAGGGGGGTGGGACCTTCTCTCGGATCTCCAAAGCACGCTGGCACAGGGGCTCTGCCTCCCGGTAACGCCCGCGCTTCCCATAGAGGACAGCCAAGTTGTTGAGCGTGGCGGCCACCTGCGGGAGTGGGGGAGGCACAGGTCAGGGAGGGGCGGGGACAGCCCCACTCCACCTCCCCGCCTCCCTGGGGCCTCACTCACCGCGGGGTGCTCAGGGCCCAGCGTCTGCTCCCGGATCTGCAGGGCATCATGGAGAAGGTCTGTAGCTTCTTTGTACTTGTTCTGGTCCCTGTGGGGCAGGGGCGGGGGCGGGGGCGGGGGCGGGGCGGGCGGGCAGCCCAGGGATGGAAGGGGTTAGCCAGGGGTTTGGGGCAGCTGCAGCCACAGGGGCTGGGCTGATCCTGGCAGGCCCAGGGAACCTGGCTGAACCAAGCATGGGTGGCACCTTGTGGGGGCTCCTCCATCCCTCCTAAGTCTCTAACCCAGTTTTGTACCCCCAGACCTCTGCCAAGCCTCTAGCCACCCCAGGTCTCTTGCCGGCACTGTTGGGGTCCCTGGTGTCTGTGCTGACTCCTCTCTGCCTGGTCAGTGACACCCTCCCCCCAGATCTGTCCCACTGCCTCTTTGCCTCCTTGCCCTTCTCATAGCAAGAGCTCTCCCTTCCTCTCCCATTCTGGCTATCCCCTGCTCTGACCTCCCCAGATGCTCCATGCTGGCAGAGTGGGTAACAGGGTCCCTCCACAAGCACCCAATCGGTCCCTGCCATTCCTTTCCCCAGCGATGGCCAGCCACAGCACTCACCGGTACACCAGTGCCAGGATGTTCAGCATGGTGGCCACGTCAGGGTGGCAGTGGCCGGAGCTGCGCTCCAGGTCCTCCAAGGCCTGGCGGCACAGAGGCACTGCCACCTCATAGCGGCCCTGCCCCGCGTACTGGATCACAAGGTTATGCAGGGTCCGAAGTCGGGCGGGGATCTCATAGCCGCCCTGCTGAGCCGCTGCTGCTCCTGCAGCCTCTGGACCTAAGTGGGGAGGGGGTGGGCTCTGGGGCACTGCAAGCGTCCTGCCCCTCCAGCCTTGCATGAGGGGACACGTGCCCCAGAACTGCCAGACGGCCCAACTGGTCCCTGGGACTATAGCCCCACCCCCCATACTGACTTCTGAGATTGGGGTCACCAGCATCTAACCAGCTGGAACACAGGACTGCCCTGTGGAATATGAATACAGGGCCTGCTGCGCTCGGGGGGGGGGGGCTACCCTGCCCTCGCAACTCCCAGCCTCACCTGCCCACTGTCACATTCAGGGTCCTCCTAAACCTCCCCAACCCTGCCAGAAACTTTGGGGTCCAGCAGCTCAGAGCCCCCTCCCCCACCTTGCAATCCCTCAGGGCATGTACTCCCTGATGCCCACCTTTCTTCTCCTCCTCGGTGGGGAACAGGGAGGCCAAGCTGTCTCGGCGAGGCGGGGACTCAGACTGCTACAGGGACATGGAAAGTGGGGGGTCAGGAGGTGTGGGAGTTTCAGAGATGGGGCCCTGGATCTCAGGGTTTGAGGGAGGTGGTTATGAGCGGCAGGGGCCCCAGAGGACAGGCGAGGCTCTGGGAACTTGGTGGAGCAGCTGGTGGGGGTGTCTGCAGGAGTGCTGCTGGGTCTGTCTGGGGGCTCTACGGTGCCTTGGGGGACTGTGGGATTCTAAGGAGGGTCGGGGGGATGGTGGGACTCAAAGCAGGGTCTGGGAAATTGGAGGGTTGGGGGAGTGTGGGGCTCTAAGGGACCTAAGGAGGGTCGGGGGGACTGGGGGACGCTAGCAAGAGTCTGGGGGAGTGGGGGACTCTAGGGAGGGTCAGGGTGACTGTGGGGCTCTAGGGACGGTCGGGGGGACTGTGGGACTCTACAGAGGGTCGGGGGGACTGCGGGGCTCTAAGGAGGGTCGGGGGGACTGGGAATCTATGGAGGGTGGGGGGAAATGTGGGGCTCTGCGGAGGGACGGGGGGAGAGGGGCTCTAAGAGTCGGGGGTACAGTGGGGCTCTAGGGAGGGTCTTGGGGACTGTTGGGCTCTAAGGAGGATCAGGGGGACGTTGGGGCGCTAAGGAAGGTCGGGGTGACTGTGGGGTTCCAAGGACTGTTGGGGGACTCTAGGCATGGGGTGGGCGACTACGGAGGGTCAGGGGGACTGTGGGGCTCTACGGAGAGTCGGGGGGACTGTGGGCCTGGAAGGAGGGTCTGGTGGACTCTAGGGAGGATCTAGGAGACTGGGGGACTCGGGTGGGTCGGGGCGACTTAGGGGCTCTACGGAGGGTCGGGGGGATTTCGGGGCTCTAAGGAGTGTTGGGGGGACTGTGGGGCTGGAAGGAGGGTCTGGGGGACTCTAGGGGGGGTCTGGGGGACTGGGGGGCTCTAAAGAGAATCGGGGGGACTGTGGGCTCTACAAATGGTCGGGGAGATTGTGGGGCTCTAAGGAAGGTCCGGGGGACTGTGGAACTCTACGGAGGGTCGGGGGTACTGTGGGGCTCTAAGGAAGGTCAGGGGGACTCTAAGGATCGGGGGGACTGTGGGGCTCTAAGGAGTGTCGGGGGGACTGTGGGGCCCCTAAGGAGAGGCTGGGAGACACTATGAAGAATCGGGGGGCCTGTGGGGGGACTGTGGAGCTCTAAGGAGGGTCTGGGAGACTGTAGGGAGGGTTGGGGGTACCGTGGGGCTCTAAGGAGGTTTGGGGGACTGTGGGGTTCTAAGGAGGGTCTGGGTGGCTCTAGGGAGGGTAGGGGGTACTGTGGGGCTCTAAGAAAGGTCAGGAGTACTGGGGGACTCTGAGGGTCTGGGGGACTACGGAGGGTCTGGGGGACTGTGGGGCTCTAAGGAGGGTCAGGTGGACTGTAGGGAGGGTCTGGGTGACTAGGGAGAGTCGGGGGGACTGTGTGGCTCTAAGGAGAGCCTGGGGGACGCTAGGGAGGGTGGGGGGGACTGTGGGGGCTCTACAGAGGGTCTGGGGGACTCTAGGGAGGGTCGGGGGCACTCGGGCTGTAAGGAGGGTCTGGGACACTCTAGGGAGGGTTGGGCGGACTGTGGGGATCTCTGGAGGGTCGGGGGGGACTGTGGGGCTCTAAGGAGGGTTGGGGGAAATGTGGGGCTCTAAGGAGGGTCTGGGGGACTCTAAGGAGGGTTGGGGGGACTGATGAGCTCTAAGAAAGGTCAGGGGGACTGGGAGACTCCAGGGAGGGTCTGGGGGACTGTGGGGCTCTACGGAGGGTCGGGAGAAGTGTGGGAATCTATGGAGGGTGGGGGGGACTGTAGGGTTCTTAGGAGGGTCTGGGGGACTCCTGGGAGGGTCCGGGGGACTGTGGGGCTCTAAAGAAGGTAAGGAGGACTGGGGGACTCTAAGGAGGTTAGGGGGAATGTTGGGCTCTAAGGAAGGTCAGGGGGACTGTGGGGCTCTAAGGAGGGTCTGGGGGACTCTAGGGAGGGTCGGGGGGACTGTCGGGCTCTAAGGAGGGGCAGGGGGA